GGCAGCGAGTGCTATCGACGCCGCAACAGCGAGAAGCGTGATGCTATTACGCATGGTGTCAATTGCAAAGTGTACTCGATTGAAGTGCAGACAGGAGAGTAATGTCGACATCCATCTGCTAGTGGGCGACCTGTCTCAAATCAAAATGACGATCTTGATTCCATTGGTGTCGTCGAGGCCACCGTACCGGGTATTGTGGACAACGACTCGGAGGACGGTCTTCCTTGAGTTGACAAGTTCATCGTCGTATCGAGAGCATGGCGATGGCCTCGGACGTGGTTATTAAGCCCGAGTACAGTTGTGCATGAAGATTAGCGGACACTCCAGGCGGCGTCATGCGACCGGATGTAACAGGGTGTAATGCTACTTTCTCAATGTCCACATCAAACGTCGCGGGTTTTTGCGCAAAATGGACAGGATGGAGCGTCCCCATATCCAACTCTATGCAAGTGGATGTGAGTGTGTCGTTGTTGTCTTATAACTTTTGTATTCAAAATGTAGAAAGGCTGGTACGTTGCTGACTGGAACGTAGAAGTGGAGCTCTCGTTGAGGTGTGATCATGACGTCTTTTTGCTCATATCGGTACTACCAATCCAAAATGAACACACGCCACACGGCCGTCTAGTCTGCCGTATACAGTAATTCCTACGTCCAGTGTACTAGTTGCCCGTTGGTCAGTCGAGTGTCAGTCGATAATTAGGTCGCACAAGACAACAAACCGAATGTCGGAGACTTTAGGGGACTGTCTCTCAAAAATCAATGCAGCCTTGCGGCTTATGCGACTTGAATCAAGTCGCAAAGGCACGATACGCTGAATTTGCCGCCAAAGGCTAACGTTATTCGCGGCAGGCCGACACCACGGCAGTGTAATTACACAGCTTGTGAGTGAGCGAGAAACAAAAGTACAATGTATCCTTGCAGCTCACATCTATCTATCTATCTATCTATCTATCTATCTATCTATCTATCTATCTATCCAACGTCTCGAAGAGGTGCTGCGTCGTTGTGTTTTTGTTTGGCCCTCTGTTCGTGCTCGTCAGCAGGCAATTCCAGAATGCAATAGAGGTCCGGCTACTCCGCTTAGAGGCCACTCCCAATGGTTGCCTCGCTACTGTGGCTATATGCATGACATGCGCGTCGAGGTTGGCCTCGACGCGGCAATCGACACATTGCCGTGTTGCTCCATCAGTGGCATGGTCAGTGTGCCTGTTCAAATCGCGCATATTGAAAAGCCGCCGCGCGCTAAATCTTTACCCGGATCCGGATCGATTCCACGCGAGACGCTGACAATTGATTGTAGACATGTTGGTCCTAGTATCACAGTATATGATTGTGTACATACAACAGTACAATAGTTCCAACGAGAGTGTACATGGTGTCCGCACTACCACAGTAGAGACGACTCATCCAACGCTCCTACCTATTAGAAGCTCGGGATCGTAATGACCTTGCCGTTCTTGCGGCTGCAAGTGTCCTGGTTCAGAATCGCGCTCGGGCACGCGATTTGGTTGCCGACGCCGCCTGTCTTGGTGTTGACACTCCAGCACGTGCGCACTTCGGATAGCACGCTGTTCTTGCAGACAAGCGACACCATGTTCTGGCCGTACGCCGTGCGGATCGCGCTCGCGGCCACGGTCTTGCCGGCGTTGCCCGAAATCATGGCCGACGTCCCAATCTTCTTTTCGGTCGCCATCGCCGCTTGGACATAACTGAGCTGGGCCAAGCCGCTGCACGTCCCATGCTTGGCCCACTCGTTCGAGATAAAGTCCGTGCCGTAGTTGGTCTTGACGTCGGGCCAGTACTGGTTGATGGCGTCCATACCGATTGTGTCAATTGTGTCTTGCGTCAGCGCGTTGGACGGGTCGCACTTGGACGGGTACGAGCCATCAGCGTTCTCGGGCCAGAGACCGTGGATCGTCAAGTGGTTGGTCATAAAGTCCGTCGGCTGGTCGCAGCCGGGGTAGTTGCCGGTCGAGCAGAACGCTGGCTGCCACGTCTGCGCGAACAGGTAAAAGTCAAACGCCGCAGCAATGTGGATCGAGGCAGCGAGGAAGAGCGTCGACTTCATGGCGATTCGTGTGTGGTGGTGGGGGTCGCTTGGACAAAGGAGATATGAGCCTTCGATCCTTGCCAAAAAACGAAAACAAAAAAGCTCGAGCGACCGTCCGTGTCCACCCTGGTCTGAGTCGACCGTCGACGCGGAATCAGACAAGGCGATGATACCATCTGGTCTTGTCGGTCCGATAGTGTGGCGTCGAGACAGCCCTTGCCAATCGTTTGCGCGGTCTTTCGTCCATCAATTCTCTGCAACCATGTAGCGAGCTCGTTGACGCCTGCGCCTCTGACGAGGGTTTGGACGCCTCCTGACCTCCAGGCACGTCGCTAGCACGTCGCTGGTACAAGAGCGACTAGTGCATCGCTTCTCCCCACATTCTGCTCACGATGGCGCGATGCTTGGATTCCTTTGGCCGTGGGATGCTGTTCGCGGGTGTCGAACCCACCCCCGTGGCTAGATTGAAGCTTAGAATCTCACAGATTCGCGGACACCGACAATGCATCCTGGTCCAACCGGACTAAAAAACTACTGGCATTGAGTAGTGCTCGCTAGCTCCACAAAGGCATGCGTATACACTCGTCCTTTCTATTACAAGATCACTCTTTATGCAGGCATGCACCACCCATAGTGCGGCTGCCCGTCCTGCATATGTGGGAAGCTTTGTGGGTGCTGTTTGTAGTCATCTCGTACTTCAAGCTCCTTGAGGAACATGGCAGGGAATCTTGGCTGCGGAATCAGATGAGAAATGGCCACTTGTCATGCATGCCACTAATGTCGTGAAGCGATGGTTTGAGCCTTCAGAGGGGCTTGTCGAGTACGGTCGCTCACAGAAAGGGGGGGCGTGCTGACAGAGGGTTAAGTGGAAGGTGGCGCGACGAGGCAACCAGTTGGGCAGCTCAGCACGGTCCACACATCACAAATCACATCGTGTCACATACCCACTGCGTACACCATCTGTTACAGATACTAATAGTGAGATTCAGGATCGAATCCTGACGGTGTTTGGCGTGTTTGGTGGTTCTTGACGGGCTCACCGCCAGGCACCTGCCTTCCACAGCTCTATCTTGCGACACGACGCCGTCATATCCAATGCAAGTGACTATAACCTTGTCCAAGGCGTCGTCCCAACAGGCTTATTTATATCAGCGTATGCACGCTCGCTTCATTGTGTGGTACACACAATGTACCCTTATGTACCCTTGTCCTTGACGCCCCGTTGCACGGACTAAATCCGATTCGGTTGTCAGAGTCGACGCCAAGGCGGATGCTTCGTAGAATCCCTCTGTTGCAAGGACGTTGTAGCAACGACCACTCGCGATCTTCTTCCCTCAGTCACTCGATCCTATCGCACGCGGCGTTGCAGCTCATTTCTTACTCTTTTGTCGGCGGCCCTAGACGACGTAACACGGTCCTTCCAGATACCTTTTCGAAATAAGAACGACGAGCTACGGTTGGCGACGGACGCCATCGGCTGCGTACATGGAAGCAGCGGCGAGAATGCAACTCGTACATCATGTCCCTCGCTATCCCTGCCGTGCATGGGATTGCCCGCAGCTTGCATCGACGGCAGATCCATCAGCACTCGAAAGCAGTTCGAGCCAGATCAGCGCTCAACCCATAGACACCATAGCACACGCACACACATTACGCATATCATTATGCATGCTGTCATACTAGTCGGCGCTCCCATCGTCAACTTAAATGAAGAGGTTCTTGGGCAAAATCATCGGGCGCAAATCGCACTCGCAGAGGAAGAGGAGCGGAAACTCGACGATCTGGCCCTGGACCTTCTTGAGCTCGTGGACCTCGGGGGGCACATGCTGCATCATTTCGCGGAGCTGCGGCGTGTGCCCGAGCATGTCGTCTTCAGAGAAGGACATGACGCGCGCCGAGGGCTGGCGAAAGATCGAGCGCAAGTCGCGGTCCGTCGTACTCGACTCTTGACGACCGAGGTGGAACTGCTTGCGCTCTTGGGCGGCGACGAGCACCCAGCGGCGGCGGCGCACGTACCGGTACCAGAGCGAGTCGGCCCGGGCCTTCCCCGGGCTGCTCAAAAACTTCTTGAACGTGAACGCGTACTGCCAGCCGTTGCGGTCGCCGGCGCCGAGCGTCTTGTCCACTTGCCACGACGACGGGTCGGGCTGAAAGTCTTCAAATGGCGCGCCGACCTCGTCCGTCCACGAGGCCACTTCGCCGCCGTGGAGCCCCGCGGGCTGCCACCCTTCCTTCCAGCCATACCTACATCTCGTGCATGAGCGGAACGGGATAGAGAGACAGGCCGCATACCGCTGGTTTTCGTAGATGACCGTCACGTCCTCGTACAAATGGTTTTCCGGGACGTTCATCTCAAAGTACG